TATTGTCACTCTCTATTTATCCATGGTTACCGGAGTTTTAAATAATTACGGAGTAACAGGTATTTGCGCAAATTGAATTAGGCAGATTACCTTGAAAAACATTGCTGCCGTATCTCTGATATAGTTTTTTGCGAATTTCTCAGTTTTTAATAACAATTAATTTATTTTTCTATTTTTTCTGTACTCCTATAACAGCGCCAGACAACACCTCCAGAGGAATGACGCCAATTTTGAATCACCCTGTATGTTGCATTATCAAGTGTAACACACATTGAAGGACTTTATATTGTGACCGAAAGAAACAATCCGATATTCTATCACGGTCGAAGAGAATCTTCATTCGTTTTTGATTTACAAAATTAATTCGAAAGGCTGTTGAATGACAACAGACTTGAAACTGTTACGCAACGTGTAACTGTATTGATTTTATCAGAAACTTGGATGAGTAATGAAGAAAACGTCGATGTCCCAAATTTTGATTGTGCTGCTAAGTTCAAGAGACCTACTTGTCGATACGCAGGTGCAGCTATATTTAAAAATAACAGATACGTCAACTTCACACTTTGCTCACTTCACAGATAGATACTACAGTTCATAACTCACACTCATATGTAGTTAATATATCGTCAATAGGAGAAATGTATACGATGAAATGTCAAACATAAAATGAACAATAAATTTTAATCGTAGCAATTTATATCTCAGCTAACCAAAGTATGAAGAAAATCATCGAATTCATACATGAAAATTGATTAATATATACCAAAGCAGGATCAGCTATTCTCAATCAGAACCTTCATATATTTATTACCAATGATTTCGAGTGGTGATTTCAATGTTGATTTTTAAAATGAGTCAGCAAAGCCTTTAGTTGGGTTTTTTAAATCGACATTCGATTTTAATATGTCGCATGATCAAAATGATAGTACAACAAAATATGGTAAAACAATTGATGGAGTTTTTGTTAGATATCTAGCAAACAGATTCCAATCAAAAGTGTTCATAGCATATTTCAGTTATCACAGACTCATTGTTTCATTTTTAGAATATGATACGAATTACGACCAGTTAGAGCACAGTGCACCATAGGAATTTATTATGTCCTTCTTGTCATAGTAACTTATATTCAATTATACCTGTATTATATCGTGGGCTTAAAGCTAAAACTTACCAAGTCTATAATAAATTTTTTGGTAAATGAAGTTTTAAACCGACCCAAAAATTATATCAGAATTACCAAAAAAATGTTTTTAAATGATGGGATTATTTGCTTCAAGGTGTGGTCTTTTAATTTTTACTCTTAAAAAAATAAACTCTTTTTAAACCAACCAAACACAAAAACTGCAATTTTGGACTTGGTCACTTTTAGCTTGAAGCCCACGATATTGTAAATGTTATTTTACTTTGTGAAAATATATTTATTTCATACTATTAATTATTACTGCCTTGCCCCGCTTGTTGAAGTTTTCACTTCTATCGTATGGTCTTAAGCACATACAAGATTGCATTTGTTAATAATTTGTTTCGTTATAAATATGTAATTAATTCAGGTATATTCCTTTTATTGCAACCTGCATCATACTGTGAAAGTCTGATTTGTTTCAGCAAATGGAAAAGTTGTGGATGCCTCCCAAGAAATGATTGCAGTTGGTTTATCTAATATTGCCGGATCATTTTTTGGATCGTTCCCGGTAAATGCTTCATTTTCAAGAGCCGCTGTTAGTAGTGCCAGTGGCGTGCGAACTCCATTATCTGGAATTTACACAGGTAAGAACTTTTGTCTGTTTGTCAAATTTGTTTTAAAATAAACAAAATTGTTTACTGATCATTTTGGTCGCCCCAATTACTTTAAAAATAAGGTTTGGTGCTTTTAAAAATCAGATGATAAATCACAGGTGGTCAAAGTGCAGATCGTCCCATCGGCTCTAAATCAGTAGTTAGTAAAAGCTGGCTGAAACGATATTGCTAACACTAAAGTACAGTTCTCTACAACACTATAAACTGACCCAATTTGATCAGATTTTAGTTAAAATTTGATCCGATCGTTACCTCCAAATGGATTACTTCTCAAATTTTCTCGATTTTTGCTAGTTCAAATCATATTTATAACGTCGGAAAATATCCCATCCCAAAAAGCATCTATAAAAAATTGTAAATCAGACTATGGCTTTGCTCCTTCGAGATGTCTAAACACACAAAACGTCAGATTTTGAAACAGTTGAAAAGATCGTAACATTTCCATGATCTTTCCTATACTTTTACGCGAAATTTTTAACGTACGAAGACCGCTTCTGGACTCGGCCAGCTTTTATGACAAATTTAAAAACTTGAGATTGAATTTGGCTTGGGCGCCGAAAGTTGTTGGTATAATAGTAGCAGAATTTTATCATCATCAGTCATTTTTATTCATCCAGTTGGATGTGGATTTAGGTCAATTTTAACATCTGTGGTCTGTGTTTATTAATTTTTAGAAAATATTTTTCTTTAAAATTTTATATAAGCTATAAGCTTATATAAAGGCTATATATAAGCTATAAGCTTATAAGCTTTCCTTTTGATCAATCATAGAATACCAAATACCAAATTTTACCTACATTCGGACGCTCCTACTATGAGAAAGGTATAACCTGGAATTAATCTACTCAATGGAAATAAGCCCTCGCCTGGGGCTGGGAGAACTTCCCAGTAGCCCAGTTCTCGAAACTGGCGTTCTCATAAGAAGGGAAGGCGTGGTTCTCTCGTGAAGCGGATATTCGTATTCTCGAACGCACTCGAGTGATCCCACTTCTCTTGCCAATTCTCGAAAGAACGCATCGTTAACCTGTTTTAAACCGCACTTTTTCGAACATTCATTTTTATCAACATGGGTTTTGCAACTAATGAGTGTTTAAAAAATATATTTTGTGAAGTATCTTATTAGACTTAGTTTGTAAAATATGACCCATCTATTGGGTTTACTAACAGAAAGTACAGCTAGCTTGTATGGAAATCTCTCAACAATTTCTAGGATACGTTTTAGTTTTTGGAATCGTGAATTGTAGTAGAAACAATTTTAGAATTACTAAATTTACTTGTAGTTGCAGAGGAATAAGGCACGGAACTTGTATCTAACAACTAACGCTTTTGATATGTGATGAAAAGTTTGTCAAGCTTTTAAGACTAAATAAGCAGTTGGAGCTTCAAGATCAAGTGACCGCGTATCTTCGAGCACCAAGCTCTGCTATAAGTATAAAAAAAATTATAAAAACATTTTAATTTGAAATTGTATAGTAAGAATTTATAATTAAATATTTTCGAATGTTTCCAATAAAAATTATTGTCTCCTGTCAGTAAATATATGTTTATATATAGAAAATGCTCTTTCAACATCTACCGATGTAATAGGACAGTATTGCAATTTGGGTAGCAAGCTATAAATCCAAGGTGTAATTGCGTTGGATGATTTACCAACAAAAATACTGTTTCCTGACTCAAGATTCGAAACCTTCATTCTTTTCTATAGTAGCATCTAATTTTTTTGTAACTTTAACACCTACATCCCGGGATACTTTTTACATTGAGCGGAAAATACTTGAAGAAAATTAATTGCTTCATTTAAATTCAAATTCCTACTTAGATCTGATGAAAATGAAACTATTATATCTGATATAAAACTAAAATTAGTTTTAATAAAAACAATTTGCTTGGCTGCATCCTCATTTTCACCATTAATTGTATTTGCACTACACACTGCGAGTTGGCTTCTATATCTAAAATTAATTCCTTAATAGCTTCGAAATGTTCTGAGTAGAACCGACTTAGTGAACCGGCACATATAAGTTTGTGTTGTTTTGTTTGTGTTTTTACAATGTTTTTCTTCGACGTCCGACGGCTAAACAACGCCAGCGTTCTAGCAGTCAAGGCGGTGGGGATTTCAACGTGGCGTTACTCCAACGGTAAAACAACGGTGGGCGGCGTCGACGTTCGTGTGAACTGCTCCATTGTAGCCAATGTATTAACGATGCGCTGACGCGACGTCGACGTTGCGGTGCCGCCGACAATTTTTTTCGGAGCAGTTCACACGTGCGTAATTTGACGCATATTTTTATGATAGATTTATTTCGACACAACGCAATTTTAGTGCAGGCATGGAGGTCGATTATGAACAACTGGTTTTGTTTGCGTATTACGTAAACAAATTTTACATTTTTAAAAAGAAAATAAATTATTGGGTTTATTCTTATGTGAGTTCTAGTGCATTAAAAGGAGCATTTGCTCGCGATTTTGGGGATCTCAGGAACGACGAAGCAAAGTTTTTTCATTACTTCCGTATGAGTCCCAAATCGTTTGATGAATTGCACGTGAAACTGAAACTCTTCAATTAACAATTCGATATCGTAGTCAACCTCCGTCATTTTTAACGTTTTAACGTTGCCGTTGCCGCCCGTGTGCCGATTCACACGGGCCAAGGCATAAACCAATGTTTTGCTTCGACGTCCGACGGCCCGACTCTTATTATGTATTATGAACGTATGATCTTTTAATTTGTAATTCTGGGCTGCTGTCAACTTTCTAATCGTTGTCACAACTGACTTATTTGAAAACTTACAAATTTGTCTTTATGTTTTATGCCCGTATGCACCGACAGACTTTAATCGAGATTAAGCGTTAAACCAGATTAAAAATTATAAACGGTATGCGCCGTCGACAGTTTTGACCTTAAATGCGTTTGACTTTAATCCACCCATGTCCGAGGATTAAGTTCTTAAAATTATTTAAATATCCTTTGAAATTGAAGCTTTTATTTTCGTCCTAGCAAATTAGAGAATTAACTTGAAAGACGAAATAAAATTAGATAATATTCATCTTTTAGAAACAATTGTTTATGATTTTTCAAAAAAGCAAGAAGCTCGCTTTCCAAGAGTTATTGGAGCGGGCTCGATTTTGTGATGTGTAAAATGAAGTATTTCGAAATGGAAAGACGAATTTTTCAATGAATTCTTAACGCGTTAAAAATTATGGACTTTGTTGTTGATTGGCTTTGCACTACACACGATTCAACAATTCTGAATAGGTAGTTGCAGATTGAAGACTACCTACATTAAAAAACGGCGAATTTGGTAATAATGTTTTGCTTGATCACTGAGATATGAGTTCTCATATGACAACCTATACAACTGAATATTAATTGAAGTCAAGTCAGGGTATGTTTACTTTTATAAAATCGTTTTAGAACGCTCCAGTCTCTATACCAGGAACCCTGCAAATTGGAATTAAAATCGCTTTAATTTTCTTTCACGCTTGTTATTTAATATGCAAGAAATTACTGCCGGTCTTCTTGGCTTCAATAACAAATGTAGATAATTCGGCAATGAGGCTGCTTTCCTTTTTCCATGATACCAGGGTTTTTATTATAACTACGTACGAGGATAACAAATTAACAACTCGCAATATACATTATTCAACTTTAGTCAGAAACAAAATGTTCTGTTCTGTTAACCTTTATTTTTGCTAATTATCGAAAAGAATTCTATAGATTTTTTACCGTTGCGATATCTCTACAAGGTTTAAGTAAACCACCGCTGAATTTCAACGGTGCATAGCAACCGGGTTCTTAAACCCGATTAGTTCTTAAACGCGTTTAGTTAATCGCCATTAGGGGATTGGCGGTGCATATGGCTATTAGTAAGTTATTACGGTGGTAGGTAAAGTATGGTACATTATTCGAGTTGTAATGCATTTACGTACTCATGGAATTACGCACTCGCCGCTTCGCGGCATCGTACGCAACTTTTTCATACGTAGGTAAAGTGCTCTTTACAACTCTTATTATGTAATATACTCTAATAAAAAAGATTTTGGAGTTCTAGACATTTTAAAATAAATATTCTCAAAACACTATTTTCACAATGAACTCTATCGGCAAACTGAATTGAACAGTCGACCGCGTCTTTGTTTTTCATAGGCGCCGTCCGAGTACAAAGGTGCCGCCGACTTAAATGAGGACGCGCTGGTTCCTTATTGACGAGACATTCCAGGGTAGTAAATAAATGTCAGGCAGTAAAACTCATAAATTTAGTGCCTATTTTACGCCCGCCGAATTAATTTCCATAATATTTTATTAAGATGGAAAGAAAAATTTAAGACTGTTTAGATCTGTGCAATTTTTTGTAAAATTTGATAAAATATACATGTATTTCGCCCTCTACTAATAACTGATTTTTTATGTTTGATAACATAATAACGGTCATTTATCTTTGATAACCATAACCTAAAAATAGGTTTGGTTTTTAACTAACTCTTAAAGTGAAAATTAGGTTTCAAAAATTTTTCAATTACATTGCAGTTGTTGGGAAGATTTTGAATACCGATCTTTATCCGATCACTGCAATAAACGAATAAAAACTCTGACAATAAATTAAAAAATAATTTATAGGCATAATGGTGATAATGGCTTTCACATTTCTAACGCCGTACTTTTCGTATATTCCAAAACCGGCACTAGCAGCTGTTATAATATGCGCTGTCGTAGTTATGGTGGACATTTCCATTACAAAAAGTATATGGGAGGGAAACAGTGCGTAAATACAAATTAATTTAATTGAATGTTTTTATGTAATTTTTCGAATTTCAGGATTGGATATTGTTCCCTTTCTGGTCACGTTTGTGGCCTGTTTGATCAGTAGCATAGAAGTGGGAATTCTTGTCGGAATATTTGTTGAAGTATGTAAACTCATGTATTTTACAGCCAGACCAAAAGTTATTATCAAACAGGTGAGATTAAAACATTTCCACATCTCTTATTTTTTATTTCTTGGATGTTGGTTTAGTTTGTCCGACACTGTCATAATATAAAAATGGAGTAATTTATCGGTCACCAGTACCGTGTATATACTTGTAATAATATCAGTTTTTTGGCCGGTCGGGAAAGTAACCAGTAGTTGGATTGACGGGTTATGTGGCAGGGCCTAAGGCTCAAGCTGTAAGAGAATAACTTTAGCTTGCTGTTGCCAAAGGTGACATGTCTCAATGGGCAGAAAATTAGTTTCGCATCTTTTATAAAAAAGAAGTTATAGAACATTAAAGTTGACTGTCAAGAAAAGTATATTAACCAGAAAATTCAAATGGATACTCTTCAGATCGATTTTGTGACAAAAATTAAGGCAAGTTTGTAAAAGGATTTATATAGCTAAAAGTAACTGTTTCATAGATAGTTACTTTCAATAAGCAACCAATTTTTAAATCTGACCGAAAACACAATACGATATCCATATACAGGGGTATTCACGCTATACGGCACGGACGTTTGCGGCTAGCCCGTTTGTTTTTTACAAAGAATTATTTGATGAATCCACAGACGCCTATCGAGTGCACATTTTAAAAATATTTTGTCATGTACAGAGTAAACCCCTAAAAGTATCAAAGTTGTGTTTTTCTAAATTAAATACCCTATAAATTATTGCATTTTTGGATTCTCTGAGCGAAATAATTCTTTGTTTTAATAAGACTTATAATGTGTAAATCTAAAGGTTTTTTCAATAATTCGAATTTTATCAAAAACTAATATTATTTTCATGTGTGAAATACTTTAGAAATATTTAAGTTATGTAAACGTAATTCGTAGTGTAGTGTACCCAAAAATCATATTTTATATCCCAATGATAATAA